ACATATTTCTTTTTTCTAATTTCTATTTTTCACACAATAGTCTCAAGAGATTCATATCTGAGAATAGGGCTGAGCGATACCAAAAACAATATTGTGATGATATTGTAGGGTTGACTACTGGTGCTTTACCTAAATATTTACACAATGACATTTTTGATAAATAATCATCGGTAATGTGGATATTATGACTAAGTGGGTGAAGACAAATAAAAGAACAGTCAGAACAGTCTGATAAAATTATTGTTTTACTGTAATAAAGCCTTCAAAACCAGGAAAAGACAACACACAGGATATTATGATATACAAAATATAAGACGATATCTAGTCTCATATTATAACATTGAAATAGATTTCTCATCAGCTTCTGTTGGTTTAATCAGAATTATAGTGATGATAAATATTTAAAACTTGTAGCTACAATCTGAATGCGAGCCGAGTCACATGCCTTCCTGACTGAAAGATAATAAAATAAATCATAGTGTGTATTTCTCATCCCTTTCTTTTAATTGAAGGTAATTTATTAACTTCAAAAAACTAAAAAAAAGTTTATTTTACTTAGAAAAAATAGTTATTTGTTTGGTTGTTGTTTCATTTACTGGAGAAGAATATAAAGTAGAAACTATTAACACTCAGTTCTTCTGCTGTCAGAATCTCACATCTGACTGTAAATCATACGATGACACCATGTTGTGTCCTCTGAGCTACAGCCTCATGCTTCAATCATACAACACCTGTGATCGGTCCAATCAGCCAACAGGCTGCAGTCAGCTGTACACAGTCACATTTAATACAAACCACAAGCTGAATGTTAGTCAATGTGTGAAGGGGTGAACATGAGTGAACTCGTGGTTTCAGGCTCAGACAGAGGAGGATGATTCCTGCTCAGATTTATAAATCACAATGTGGAAAGTTTCACTGTTGTTTTTATCTGCATTTTACTGTGAGTCAAAACCTGATGCTGCACTTTAGTTTAGTTCTGCTTTGAATCAACCAGCTCTCTGCTGCACTGAATGAAGACAGTGTTAGGACTTAATGCACAAACCTGCTATTTTTAAATATCTCATCAAGAGAGACTTTCACTTTGTTTGTTCTGAAAATGTCGGCACACAGCTCCGTTCTGTGGACGATAAACGAGGTGCTGACGTTCCTCTGCATCACCGGTAAAGAGGAAATACAGCGAGCTGGAGAGAGCAAAGACCCCGCCCACTTTTAAGAGTACTGTCTGTGGTGGAAACATTAAACTGACCTGGGGTCTGGGTACATGTTCGTACAGGTTAGATTTGGTTCTAAAGGTACTATACTGAAGGTTTTAGGTGGAAACACGACTGTAGGAGCAAGGAATGAGTTTGAGTTTCACGCCTGTCACTATAGGTCACTGTTTGTAACTCTGTGTGTGTGCACCTGTGTGGAGGTGTGTGTGGGTGTGTGTGCGCCTGTGTGGAGGTGTGTGTGTGTGTGTGTGTGTGCGCGCCTGTGTGGAGGTGTGTGTGGGTACATCACTGGGTCTTATTGGGTAATCTATATACCTGTGTACCTGTTGATCATCAGTTTTCAGTTTTGCTTGTAACAGAGAGGGGGAGAGTGGGGAGCCTTTACTTTGTGCTGACTGCTGCAGCCCTTCTGGTCCTGTTTATCTGCAATATCTGAGCATCATGTCAGGTAAACATGTTTGTTTGTTTGTTTGCAATAAACGAAAAGGAAGGCAGTTATGGACTCATGCTCTTTGTTTGGACAGGGCGTGTTGTAGAAAGTAGCTACAACAAGGGTTTACCTCAACAGAGCAGTGACGAAAAAATGGGGACCAGATCAAATGCCTTGTGTGAGAAAGCTGCTCTTGATTGGTCAGAATTTCCATGTGGGAAAAATCCAGGAAGTAAAGCAAACGTTGAAGAAGAGTACACTTGCAAGATAAATGTGACACTTTCTAATGTCACAATGGAGGGACAACTACGCAGGTTGATTTTAGCGCTGCTCATCGTGGACTATATTGCTGTCATTGTTCATTTTAGTCAAAGCATACAGTTTGAAAACGAGGCGCGGCTCCAACTAGAAAACAATGTTTTGATGCATTGGATGTGCTGAATGTGCATATTAAGGCAGTACAGGAGGAGGTGCACATTAATAATCCTCCAGGACTGTAACATGCTCACGTTTAACCCAAACAATGTGTCATGTGACTGCAGTTGCTTCACATCCAGGTCGGAACACCTTCTCACCACAAACCAACCGCACCAGAGTTCCTTTGGAACCGGACTGAGACCACCTCTTCAAGAAGGTCTCACTCCAGTACTCCTACATGTGAGTTATTTGGGACCCTCGCTGCAGTGCACTGTGTACTAATTACAGGTTTACATTATCTATTAAAAACTTTATTTGCCTCCATGTTATCAAATTATTACCAGGAACTATCACTGTGTGTATTTAAAGTTAAAGTTTGGTCCTAGTTTTTAGTTTGAGTTCAGTTTCTAGTCAAGAACTCAAAGAATAAAATCATCAATAACTAAAATCATATCTACATCTTTGAGTGTCCGTCTGTTGTTTGTTCTGTGATTCATGTGTGAGACTGAAACACTGCAGTTTGGAGCAATGATTAATGAAGCACTCACTCTCACTCTTATGTAATCTGATTACATCTAATACACATTACAGAGCCTCAGTATATTTTACTGTTACATTCATTTGTCACATCCTTTTTATCTTCTCACTGGTGGAACAAAAACATCACTGATTTCAGTCACTAAATGAATGTGTGATGTTTTCATGTTGATCATCAGGATCAGGTTGTGACAGCTGTTTATTAATCTGTTACTGGGTTTGTCTAAAGTATTTACTATATTATATGTAACATCTAGTTAGTTTCAGACCAGCGATTTACTAAACCAGGCTGCAACGTTCAATCTTAAGTCACGTCTGAGCTCTTGGTCATGTGTTAAGTTTTAAACAAACATATACACACTTAGAGAAAAGGAGGTGAGAATCAGAACTGACCTTCAGTCTGTGCATGACACTGAAGAAGGGAAGGAAACAACATCTGGGGACTAAATTTGCTCTTTAACATTCAGTACCAGATACGATGCCCCACTATTTAATCTCATCAGCCTCTGAATCAAAGAACAGGTTTGTAAATATTAAATGTGACTGGTGATTTTCAGGAAAAGTGTTACTTCAGAAGCCAGAGCTCAATGTGTGTTTCAGTGCTAAAGGTGTCATGTTGCACTCCACTTCTCAGTGACCACAGTAACAAGTGTGACTGTGTATCAGCCACAGCACATATAGCTGTTGTGTATAACTATAGTCATATTACACACAAATAAAATAAGTTATGATGTTCATGCTCCTAAAAGGTGAATTCAGACTCAACACAAAGTTCAGTTTTGTCTCCATTTCATCTGTGAATCTGACTGTTGGACTGTTTTAACACTTTGTGTTTATTCAGCACAGACTGTGTGTGCACATGTCTGGAGTTTGCTTGTGTTTGTGTTGATGATCTCTAAATGTTCTACAAACTCCAGTTCTTTCTTTAATTTTCCTCTGATCACTGCAGATTAATGGAGTCGAGTCTGAGAGTCTGAAATCTTGCTTCAGGCTGGTCTTTGTTCTAATTTGCAACATTTTGAGTTGATTCACTTTGTGTTCAGTCTGTATGCACATTAAAATTCATGAAAACCAATAACACATGAATAATAATAATAATTTAAAGATTAATATGTCACTGACCATTCATATGCACAAAGGTCTCATCATGAATCTGATGGCTGATTTCCATCTGTGTGGCTACACAGCGATAGTTGTCAGTCTTGGTCACAGTTGTGTTGAGAGTGATGTAGAAACGTCCGTCTCTTTCAGAAACATGTGGCTCCTCAGCAGGAAGTTTGTTTCCAGCACTGTCCTGCCACTCTACTTCAGGTTGTGGATTACCATTAGCTTCACACTGCAGCAGCGCCCTGTTGTCTGTTTCATCAAGTATTCTAATGTTTGGTTTTGGAGCTGCACCTGTGGACAGAATGAAATACAAATCAAAGATAATTACAGAATACAAATGTGTTATGAGGAAGTTTTTTTTCGTCCCTGCTTGTAAATGTGGTTTACATCATCAGAGAGAGAAATGGAAAACTACATCAGGGCGAAACATTTAAAACATTTTAACTTTTATACTCACTGATTTAAAGTGTTTTTAAACTGATATCAGACCTGTGGAGCCAAACATCGCATGCAGGTGACAGGTAGATAGTGACGTCAACAAAATCAGGACTCACCTGGGATGCTTTCATCTAATCGGTTTTTTAAGACACCATCTGAAAGGCAAAACAAAACACGTTAGAGTTCTTGTGTGACATCATCAACTTTTCAGACAGGTGAAATAAATTCTGTTTCTGTGTTTATTGTACTGTTTTTTCTCCATCTAGTTCTGATTCACATTCACAGACCTGACTGGTTTGTATCCTGGACAGTTTAAAGTCATTTGTTTGACACAAACTTACGAGTGTGCACACTCAGATTTTATCTCCTATAGACTGCTGACATTTCACAAAATGAGAGGACATCTTTTTTGTAAGAAAGAACTCACCAACAACAAGCTTAATGTGGAATGTTTGACGTTCAGGAAAAACACAGGTGTAGTTTCCATTGTCAGCCATCTTTGTATTTCTGATGATGATGGAGGCGTTGCCATGTTTCAGTTCTTGTGGAAAATGAGAGACTCGACCTTTAAACCCGTCATCCTGAGATCCAAAGCTGGGACTGTGTTTGCCTTTTTCGTACAGGAACACCTCCTTCTGTTTTTCATTATTCTGAGGAACTTTATACCAATAAAAGTATTCTTGTTCAATGTTCTCCTTGGTGCTGAGGGAACAGGGTAACAAAGCATTTCCATCTTGTTTCACTGGGATGACCACTGGCTCTGGAAGACACAAACATGTATTAATCAGTGTGTTTACATGCAGAGTAATTAATTTTAAGACAGACATGTTAAAGTTTGTTGTTATAACAAAATATAAACTCACCCTTTAGTATGACTAGNAAATGAATGTGTGATGTTTTCATGTTGATCATCAGGATCAGGTTGTGACAGCTGTTTATTAATCTGTTACTGGGTTTGTCTCAAGTATTTACTATATTATATGTAACATCTAGTTACTTTCAGACCAGCGATTTACTAAACCAGGCTGCAACGTTCAATCTTAAGTCACGTCTGAGCTCTTGGTCATGTGTTAAGTGGTTGCCAGGCAACATCAGCATCAGTGTCCAATCAGAAAGCTATAAACAATACAAACATGTCAATTATTTCAGCAGCTGCATCATAACTTACAAGAAATATGTTTTAAGTTTTAAACAAACATATAAACACTTTGTCAAAGTACAGAATGTTATACTGTGTCTTTCTAGATGAATGTAGTCAGGAATGTTTGAGTTTAGGAATAATATGTAATCATGTAGTTTAGAGTTAAATCTGCTGCCTGACAGACAAAACTGGGCCGTTAAGTGTAAAATTATTGTTGCAATAAATTTTAGCGAGAAATTATTATTCTGTAAAATGTGATTTAACTGCACTTAAAGTGATTCACATCCACTTGTTTAACATGTGATGTATATTGAGTGAGAGTTAAACTGTGTGCTGATGTTTGATGATTCATGTTTTCATCATCACAGTTAGACAAGTGGAGCTTGAACACTAGAAGTCATTTGACACCAGTGTCATGTCAGATCATTCTCTATTAGCTCTTCTACTCACTCTGAGCAGCTCACATATTGTGTTTTCTGTAGAGAACAATCAGCTCCTCCACAGTTACATGGACTAGTTAGTATGTGCTCATATTTCTAACAACAACAATCAGAAAGCTTTTCATTCCCAAAATATTATGGGAATTAGAGCAGACAACAGTACAGGCCTTGTTTAGTTCATGTTGTGCTCTCAACTGTAAAGTAGAAACAGACTGTAGAGAAAAGGAGGTGAGAATCAGAGCTGACCTTCAGTCTGTGCATGACACTGAAGAAGGAAAGGAAATTACATTTGGCTTCTTTAATGCTGTCATATGGAATAGTTTGTGTTTTGATACTATGAGTGTGACGCTGCACAACACTTGTCAATGTTCATCATGTGTGTCCTCAAATCTTTCCTCTGAAACATGTTTACAGACAGTAAATGTAACACTGTGAATGTGACTGCACATCATGTACAGCACATATAGTATTAGTGTAGAATCACAGCTGGAGATCATCGTCACAATGATTCATGATGTTCATGCTCCTAAAAGGTGAATTCACACTCAACACAAAGTTCAATTTTGTCTCCATTTCATCTGTGAATCTGACTGTTGGACTGTTTTTACACTTTGTGTTTATTCAGCACTAAAATACTGACGACACAGACGTTAGCTACAGCTGGCTGACAACGTTCACACTGACTGTGTGTTTGTAACAGTTCATACTGAAGTAGAAATGTATTATAGACTCCAGTTCTTTCTGTTATTTCCCTCCAAACTCTGATTCTTCCTCTGATCTCTGTAGATTAATCAATTGAAGCTTCAGCCTGGGTATAAGAGTGAAGTTTTCACTCAGTTTGGAACATTTTCAAGTTGTGCAGATGTTTTCATCACAATTTTTGACAACTAATAACATACAAGCAGTTGAAAATACATGTTACATATGGAAAATAAGTCTCACCATTGACAGACACATGGGTGTCATCAGAAATCTGATGGCAGATTTCCTCCTGTGTAGATATACAGCTGTAGTTGTCCGTCTTGGTCACTGTAGTTTGGAGGATGATGTCATAGCTGCCTCCTCTGTCTGGGCCCTGTAGTTCTTCAGCAGGAAGTTTGTTTCCAGAACTGTCCTTCAACTCTACTTTAGGTTTTGGAAAAGCCCCTCGAACAACACACTGCAACAGCATCCCATCCTTTGTTGGACCAAGTATTTTTAAATTCGGCACTGGACATGTGCCTGTGAACATACAAACAATTAAAGATTAAAAAGGACACCAACAGTATCATAAATGTAACATTGCTGTGTTTATTGTTCATCACTCCTCTGCTTATACATGTGGATTAAAGGAAAAACACAGAGAATCACAAAAAGTACAATGCAGGGCTCAAATTCATTTACCATCCTTGTTTGACAAATATGCAAAAAAAAAGAACCTTCCAGTAATTTGTTAACTATTCACCACTGAAAGCACTATTTCTGACTCATATTATGCTGAGGTAACCCTTAAAAACTTTTTCTTTATATGCCATGGTACAAAATCATCTTCATAAGAAATCATGCAAAATGTGTTGCAGTAAGTGAGTCGTATATTTGAAATATGAAATGTGAAATACAGGGACTTCTGTTATCTGTTCATCCCTTGTTACCAGGGCTTCATTGTGTCAGTGAGAAATCACATTACACAGGTGGAAAACTGATCATCACATTTTTAAAATATTTGCATTGTTAGCCAAGAGGAGCTGATGAAGGACTTCAGTAAAATATTTTCTTTTGTGCAACCCATAAAGTGAGTGCTGAAAACCAAAACAGACTACAAAATGACCACACAGTTTAATCAACACCTTTGGAACATGACTATAAGAAAAACTGAACATTATAAGCTTCAAATGGGATTCACTGCGGAGCTGCTAAATTAGACAGCTCTCCTTATCAACCAGTAACTGAGTGTATGAAGCTTGTAGCCTAATGTGTTTTTTCATTTTTATGGACAACACAGCCCTCCTACACAGACAGCCCCTGTCCACTTACACAATTATAAAAACATTTTATATAATTAACATTACCACAAACCTAGCAGATGGTATTGTATTAAAGATGTCTCCACTTTAAGAGATAAATAATCAGTCAGTTCAGGACAGTGAGGTTTACCGACATTAAAGTTTGTATTGGCACTCAGGCCTCTGGAGCCAAAGTTATAACAGCACATATGAGAGATGTGTGATGATCAGTGATCAAAATCAGGACTCACCTGGTTTTTTTTCAGGTGTTCTGTCTTTTAAGA